ACGACGACGACTACTACTTCTACTACTACCACCACCACTACTACTACTACCACTACTACTACCACTACCACTACTACGACTACGACTACTACTACCACCGCCACTACTACCACCGCCACTACTACTACTACTACGACTACTACTACTACTACGACGACGACGACGACTACGACGACTACGACTACGACTACGACTACGACGACGACTACTACTTCTACTACTACTACTACTACCACTACTACTCCTACCACTACCACTACCACTGCCACTACCACTACCACTACCACTACTACTACTACTACTACTAGTACTACTACTACTACTACTACTACTACTCCTACCACTCTACTACTACTCCTACCACTACCACTACCACTACCACTACCAGTACCACTACCACTACTACTACTACTACTACGACTACTACTACTACTACTACTACTACTACTACTACTACTACTTGGGTCAACTGGGGTCAACTGAATCAACTGGGTCAACTGGGGTCAAGTGGGCCAACTAACCCTCAGTTCAACTGGGTCCACTACCACTACTATCACCACTACCACTACTGCTCAAGGGTCAACTTGGGTCCACTGGGTTCAAGTGAGTCAACGGGACCATCAGGTCGGCTGGAGGAAGTGGGTCAACTGCGTCTCCTGAGGCCTAAGTACCAACGCTTTCTAAACTGCTACTAGTACCTAGCTGTAAAATAAGGCAATCTGAGCGGTAAAAATCCAGATCAACACGAGGGTAGTAGTAGTAGTAGTCGTCGTCGTCGTAGTAGTAGTAGTAGTCGTCGTCGTCGTAGTCGTAGTAGTAGCGGTAGTAGTAGTAGTAGTAGTGGTGGTCGTCGTCGTCGGCGTCGGCGTCGGCGTCGGCGTCGGCGTCGTCGTAGTTGTTGTTGTTGTAGTTCAAGTAGTAGTCGTCGTCGTTGTGGTGGTAGTCGCAGTGGACACAGTTGACCCGGTGGCCACGCTAAATCTCCGGACCCAGTTGACCCGGTTGACCCAGTTGAGCTCAACTGGCTCAACTGCGTCCGGAGATTTAGCGTGGCCCCCTATGCGGTCGCAATGGATCTTTCACGAAATTTCATTGGTGCTTTCCCGGGGAAGCCATATCATTTTGCAAACATCTGCACGGCCCGTCAGAGCAGCTGCAGGTCGTTGCCTCACTGTCAGGGCTGTGCCTACTCAGGTTGCTGGTCTGTAACAGTGGGGACAGGAATCGGAGCACGGAAATGTTGAGGCTTCAGTTTCTTTAGTCTGTGACAATGGGGACACGCAGGGACACTTCCGCCCACCGGCTCTGCGGGAGGATTGCCTTGTATTTCTATGCTTTGTTAGTCGGTGGCGAGTCGGTGGAAAGGAAAACATATGAAAGCCATGACCTTCGATAAATCTTTCGCAGAAAAGAAAGATACTTTCGCGAATCGCGAATCTTTCGCGGATGGTTTTAACAACATCTGAAAGGCTGTTTTATATAAAACTCCATACACGGGGTTTTAGATCAACTCCCATCATATATGGAACAAAAATGCGCATCCTGCATCATGAGGTGTGTCGGGGAGGAAACAACACGTGGTTTTGACATATCACGCATGCTGGACTATAGTTCCAAATATAGAATGACTATAGAGAGAGAGATATATATATATATACAGTTTTTACCCCGCTCTCTGAGAGACACTGGTGCGGGCGGGTGTCATCGTGAAGCGACCCGAATATGTAACCCCCTATTTTTCACAAGTGAGGGCCAGGCAACTCCAAGGAGATCTTCCCACTCTTCACCGCCCGTGGCTTGGGGATGCGTGTGACGTAGTCGCAGGCGCGCTCCACCAGCTCAATGGCAAAGGGGGGCAGCATGGACGACACGAGGCCTTTGGGGGTGCAGATCTGAAAGGGCCAGGAAGCTGGCTACAAACGGGGTTAACTAGAACTTGGGGATGAAGACCACAAACTTGGAGACATGACCAGACCTTGGGGGTGTGACGTCAAACGACAGACTTACGGGATATCCTCAAATGACATGGCCCTACATCGTACCCAGGCCCCCGAACCTGTGGCACTGCAATCCGGATCTCCAACTTTCAGCTTGCACTCCTTTGGCAGTGGCCACCGTAGTCTGCTTTCCTGCGACGGATGGTCTCCCAGTTGCCAATCATTGGAATCCAAGCAGGGCAAGTTGATCAGCAAACAGAGGAGCAACCTCAGGGAACTCATGGTCTTGGGCGTATCCGTTGCATCAATCCCCTGCAGGACCAAGGGCAACAACTCACCGATTACTGAGGGCATCTGAAGGCTCAAGGCGGGCACCACTGAAGAGAAAACCCTCAGCAAGGACACATGCCTAGCTGATTGGGTGGGATCATTCAGCAGGTCAGTGGATTGCATCACCATGGACTGGAAGTCTGTCTTGAAGGGGTCCACTTCTGACCCCACTGGTGGGCTGGTGGCATGCATAGCCGAGATCTGCGTGAGCCGTGCGATGTTTTCCATGGAGGTGGCCATTTCGTAGGGGCCACGGACCATCATCAGGTCGCGCACCAAGGGCATGATGAGTTCAACGAAGGCGCGATCTGCATTCTCAGACAGGAGCATGTGTGGCAAAGTGGTGCAAGGCAACATCCTCTCCTTGCAGATTCGTCTGAAGTACAAAGAAATCAGATTGTGAAGCAAAGTGACACAGTGCCAGAGCCACTCACCCTGACAGGTCGCAGGTGTGAGGAAGGGCCTCATTCGTCGCTGCAGCAAGGTCAAGAAATTCCACATGGACGGGGCACCATCCTTGGCGCTCGGAGGTTCAGGCTCCAAGGTATAGATCAGAAAGAAAGCCACATCTTTCCAAGCAGACTGGCTTCCCATCAGAACCGTGTCAATCTCCTCCGGAATTAGATAGCGGTCAACATCGGGGAAGGACTGCTCCTTTCCATCCAAGGCCTTTGCGGCGGGTGAGCCGAAGGGCAAGCAGAGAGTGCGACAGATTTTATTCATCAGCCAGGGGAGCTGTTCCTCCACATTTTTCCAACACCTGATGTGCTGAGTCGACGCGTCGAAGACTGAAGGAGTCGACCATACGAGTCGACCTCTATATATTGCACTTGAAGAACGACCTCTATATAGGATGAGGTCCACCCCCACAAACATAGAGATCGAGCCAATCACAAGTTGGTGTTTGTTCGGTAAGTTTCATATCCTTTATGGCCCCTTTTGACTGGTGGTTGATCACTCCTAATTTCAATGGCCATGTTGGGGTGTACCCTCCTGCTTTCGAGCAAACCTATGGGACACTCTCAATCCAAGTCTGCCAACTTCAGTCTGAGCCACTCCTCCGCCTTCCCTGACATCTTGGTTTCAGCCAGCGCCTCCTCCACTTTATTGGCCCATCTCAGCTCCGCCAAGCGCGCCAGGGGCATGAACCACATCAAATCAAATTTGGGAAGCAATCCTTGGATTGGCATTCTGAAGGACCTGGAGAATGCCATGAGACGCATTCTCATTTACCCTGAAGACGGATATCATGGTCGACATCCATAGATGGCCGCTGGCCAAAAAAAACATCAGGACTCCTTCAAACATGGTCAGGACTCCTTCAGAAATTCGTGACCACCACAACCACAAGCGACCGTCCAAGAGCAGCTGGGGAATCAACTTCCGCGGCGTGAGCAGGGCCAACATCTTGGCATAGAAGAGCGAATAAACGTGCACTCCATCCACCTCTCTCTCTCTCTCACACTGCAGGGTCCAGCTAACACCCGGAGTGAACTCACGGGTCAGTGACTTCAATGGGGCCATTGTTGATTGACTCAGGGCGCATGGGATGGCCATGCTGCGGGCCGAATCCCACAGAACCCCCATGTTACTCCAATGCGGTTACTCCGGGTCGAAGCCCTAAGGCCCTGGTTAGTCAAATCCCCATTGTTGTTGGTTGATCACCCGATCTGTGTTCGCTGCAGAAATCCGGTCAATGCACTTTTTTCTTTGCCTCGCAGTGGTTGGCATGCCGTCCCGAATGCTTGGGACGAAACCCTGGCGCGTCTTGTTGACAAATCCGCCCCGCCTGAGCTGCTAACTGCTCCATCAACTCCGCACCCTGCGACACGGAGATGGAACCATTCAAGTGGCTGAACGCAACACAAAGATTGGCCAAATGATGCACGTAGTTCCTGGCCCATGAAGATGTGTCTGTGTGTATGTGTGTGTTGTTGTTCCTTTTTTTCCTTCTCCGCCCTCCAATGGAACATGGAAACCAGTTACAGCCATGGAAGGTGTTCACATGAAAAACCTTTGCGCACTTTCTCGAACATAGCAACATAGCCGCCAAGAAATATAAGGGATGTCCTCTCTACTCCAAAGAGGGGCGTTGTTGGTGCAAGGGTTTCACCGAAGTCGGCTGGCGTCGCCCTTCTCGAAGGGTCCGCCACACAAACCATGGGTCTCGGCCGCAGCTCACCCGTCCATATCCGGAAAAACATGCGTTAAGAAACATCGGGAAAAGAAAACATCCGGAAAAACAAAAACGCCAATGTTAATCATCCAGGACTCCGTCTCTTGGACTTGTTAATGGAGCAGTCCATTCTAGGACTCCTCCTCACTTCTTCAATCAACAAACGCAGCACCACACGAACGTCCAACTGGGCAAAGAGCTGAGCGATGGGCTCAGCCCCATCCCTCTCCTCTTGACTGATGGCTTCCCGCCAGAACGGCCGGTGATGATCCACGTCTAAGAGACACAACCAGGACCGAAGGTTGTCCAGGATCTTGGTGCGATTGGCATAGCCATAGAGCGGCGCTTTGGAGTCCACACTGGCCAGGAACAAGGTCCAAAGAGATGAGCACACAGAGATCTTGAAGTCCAAGCCTGTCCACAACATGCGGACCGGGGTCCCACACAAGTCTAGCGTGCAACGAGTTCTGGTGATGTTTTGGGGGTGCCAATGGGAACCTTCCGCACCTGCACAAGGAGGGGGCTCGTATGACCTCAAAGGTACCACTGGGGCTGGAGGTGGCCAAGGAAAGGTGCCATGGCCTGTGGGTGTCTTCTGCTCCTCCATGTTCTTGAGGCATCTCAAGCCGAAGGCCAGCTCCGACGCAGGGGGCGGAGCCGGATCACCTGGTGGCGGAGTGGACTTGCTTGGGAATACTTGGGGTTCTTGTGAAACGTCGAACAAGTGCCCAGAAATTCAAGTGAAGTAGAAGCTATATATAGTTTCTGGTTTGTTACGCCTTTCTGATGGTCCTCTGTTTGGTGGTGCTGTACTTGCAGCATGCCTCGCATAAATAGACTGCACTGCAATGTAAAGAACCGGGGCTTACACCTGCATATTCACATTTTGCCGTCTTGGAGCCATTAGTCATTCCCCAGTGAACCCCCCAAACACGGACGCAGCAACAAGGAGGACAGTAGCACTAGCTCACTAGCGCATCATTGATGGAATGGGTTCAGTCAAGCTGCTGCTCAAAAGCTTGAGAATCAATGGCTCTCGTGCTTCCGCTTCTTCTGTTTCTTGCTGAGCAATTTCAGGAGGCAAATACCTGCCGGCAGTCTTGCCCCCGTGCTGCAAACTAGACAGTTGCTTGAAATCATTGTCCCTGAATGAACCGGACCTAGCCAAGGAGAAAAAGAATGAATCTACTGATCAACTGACCCTCCTCTCTCGGCAATTTGCCCCTCCCTCATCCATGACAGTGGTGGGTTCTGCAGAATGCCACCCTCACAACCGCCAGTGATTGCCACCCCACACTTCACCAATGATCAAAACAAGCATCTCCGCATGTGCCCAAGAAATAATAACCAATCAAGAGCTTGCAGGGAATGCGGAAGTTATAATGCCATCATCGATCAAAAGGACTCTCACACATGTACATACATGCCTGCAAATGTTCTAAGGTGTATACGTCCATACGCAAACAATGTACTATGTCGAAGCGTGTGTAGTTATACTATGCTATAGGTGGGTATGATATATGATGCGTGTGTGCGCGCAGTGCACAGGTCAACATTAAATAGACACAATGTGATTTCAACAAGAAAACACAATAGTATGTGGATAGTAGATGGTATACATATTTGTGTGCACCGCATCAATGGGATTAAAAAAAGAAGTGCTCATATATAATTGTATAGGTGTATAGATTGGTGTATATATACAGTATATACTGTATGTGTATATGGATGCATTTTCTCGCCAGAAAAGGGCAATGCGGCAATCCCTGACCTCGGCAGGTCACTCAGCTGCGCCATGCAGCGAACGTCATCATCCGCCATGCTGACGGGGGGATGGCGACCGCTGCGGCGCTCGGGGTGTTGGTACAAATGAGTCAAGCAAGTAAAAGCGGCGTGTTGAGTGTGTCAGTGTGTTGGGTAGACATGCAGTATGGGCAAAGTTGCTCTAGATGTTCTGGTTCAAAAGGTCTCACAGGAGACCAAGTTGGCTGGGAAGGAAAAATGTTGAACACTTGCTGCTTGCTGTCTGCAAATGCACTTCGCACGGTGAAGTCATGTCTGAGCTTGGGGTTCAATAATTTTGAGGCATGACTGGCTGGAGAGTTTTCACGGAAGCAAGAGATGCTCAGCAGGTTGAAGTCTCGTGAAATCAAATGGGCCGTAGAAAATGCGAGGATCTCGACGATGTTAACTTGTACACAGCCTTCCTGTTGTTTCGAATTGAGCTGGCACACCGCAGCGGAGCAAGCGATCACCACTTCTTATCGTTGTCCATGGTGCTAATCATGGAGCCCATCCAACTGATTCTACACGGGTCTCTGTAGCACAAAGTTGTTTTAAAGACCGCCGCCGCTGCACGACTTTGCGCGCAATGCGCTCGCCCAACAGGTTGCCTACAAAAATGTTCACTGCTGAAGCCTGGCTGGGGTGCAGTTGGGAACTGATCCTTGGCCATTTCGGCTGAGGCCATCAACGAGTACGCAAACCCCCAACTGCAAGGCTCATCCTGCAAGGATAGTTTCAGCTGGTCAGGGTTTCAAACCCTGACCAGCTGATGTGAACAATTCATCTCCACAAGCCAACGAGTTTCAACGCTCTTGGATCAAGAGAAGCCGTGAAGCCGAAGGCTTTTGACATCGCTCTCCCCCCACGAGCCAAGGATGAATTTTACACCCCCAAGTGCAACGACCAGTCTTCCACCGCGTTTGTGTTGGCCAAGGATCAGCTGACAGAAATAGGCCGTTCAATAGGCCGCGATTCGGCCAACCAATCTCGCCTCAATCCATCAGAATTCATGCCCCAAATGCTGTTGGAGTGCCAAAGTGGCACTGAGTCCATGAAAGCTTGAGATGTATTCTCTGATTTCAGGGCTCGGCATGGAACTGCATCATGTCCAATTGAATGTTTGAGATGCGCATGCTTTGAGCCCCGCACCGACTCAAAGCGGGTGGGAGTGCCGCCGTCACAGATCCATCTGGTCGACAGGATCCACCTGCCGATGTGATGCAGGTCTAACGGTCGTCCCAAACGACGACATCTGTGAATCATCTTTGCAACTAAGAACAAGAAGCTACTAGGGGCTCCTGGCCGCACTACTAGGAGCAAGGACGCTACTAGGGGCATCATGGACGTCCCAGGCGCCTGAGTCACGCTGCGCACTGTTACAGGTTGAACGGCGAGGGTGTCCTGCTAGAGCGTGAACAACCACGGCAACTCATTGGTGTGACATGTTGGAAATCTAGAGCAATACTGCAGGAGCCTTGCAGCAATTCATCACTCTCACAAAAGGAAGCCGAAAATGCATTGCAAGCGTCGCGCGGCGAGCCGGCGCGCAGCGCGCATGATGCTATTTTTTCCGACGACAAGGATCAACGCCATTCCCTTTGATCTAGCATTCACCTTTGCCGGTGCAGTGGTTGTCTTCAATAAGTTCCACACACACATAGAAAAAAAAAGAGCACGGCACAACAAACATCAATAAACATCCGGGGAGATACATCACCTGAGAAGGGAGGGGACGAAAGCCAGCCTCCCCCCCCGCGTATGTTAACGGGACTTTCCTGCATCCGTCTTCTTTCTTGTTGTTTTTTTCTTCTTCTTTCTTCGTTCTTCTTCCTCCTTGTTTCTTCTTTACTTTTAAATCGTCCTGCTTTCTTCTTCTTCTTCCTCCTTCCTTCTTCCTCCTCCTTCCTTCTTTTTCCGTCTTCTCATTATTTTTCTTCCTCCTTCTTCCTCTTTCTTTCTTCCTCTTCCTTCTTATTCCTTCTTCTTTTTCTTCTTCTTCCTTCTTCTTCTTTCTTCCTCTTCCTTCCTCTTCCTTCTTCTTGTTCTTCCTTCTTCCTTCCTCTTGCTTCATCGCATTTTCACTCGCTTCCGGACATTCCCGAGCGCCCTAGCACTTCTGCTGGTGTCAACTGACACAAGCTGGCCATGTTGCTCATGACCTCTTCAAAGTGCTTGACATGCAAGGCCGGTCTTAACCAGAGATGCAGTTAACAGCTGACCATAACACAAAATGACTCTGCGTGTTCTGCATGTCTGAAGCCGCGGGGAAGCAAAAACGCTGGCACCTCCAATCTGGCGTCGCACTCACCAGGAAGGCAAGCGCTCTGAGAGTTCAACCCAGCAGTAGATAAGAGAAGAATATGCTCTGACATATACACTTAACTTATGTAGAATATTATACTAGATAGACAATTGATGCGCCCATTGGAAAAACACAAAGGACCTTGCGATCGCAAACTGGACTTGCCTAGTCTGGGGATTCAACAACAGCTAGGTTTTGGCACATGCGGAGGACAGGGGCCCGGGCATGTATATACGTATTGAACACACAAGGTTGAGTTGAGACCAATATGTTCGACCCCAACTCATGACTTTAGCCGCTTTAGCCTCACTTGTGGATCGGGAGTAAGTGGACGTAAACGGTGTCAACTCGCAAGAAGCTGTGCGACGTTGCTTTGTCACACCACGAGCAAATGCGATGACACGAAGGTATGGAATTGGCTCTCATTTGCCGCTTGCATGAACACGCACCCAAAAAGGTGTCTCCTCCCGGGGTGAAATGAAGCTCTGAAAGCATCTGCAACTCTTATGCGTTCGCTTGGGTTTTAGGTCAGGCATGTCATAAGAACACCGCGGCAAGGACACATCAGCTGCACCACCCAGAGCGGACGCCCCAGAAAACGTCAAAAAAGGCACAGCTTACCCGGCGTTCTTATGTCTTCGGCCGGGTTTTGGGTCAGGCATGTCATAAGAACACCGTGGAAAGGACGCATCAGCAACACTACGTAGAACAAACCCTCCACTCATGATGAACGAACATCTTGGTCGAGGCATGGCATTACCGCTCTGTCCCAGTGTGATTGACTTCGCTCAGCAGCGACCGGCTTGCACTACGGATGCATGAGTTTGACGAGGCTGCACCCCTGAACTCGTTGGCCGAACAGCCTGTTCAAAGTTACCTGTCCGCCCAAAGCAATCACGACGTGTCAATTCCAGTTCCTGTCTCTTTCTTCCTCTTGTTCTTCTTCTTGCTTATTCCTTCTTCCTCCTTTAAAGCTAAAGGTAATAAAAAGTTGCGAATAAGCAGCGAACAATCACAACGCGTCAATTCCAGTGCCGGAAGTTTCCTGACCCTTCTTCTTCCTCCTTTCCTTCTTCTTCGTTCTTTTGCCCTTCTTCTTCTTCTTCTTGCTTGTTCCTTCTTCCTTATTTCGTCTTTCCTTATATATATTTCCCTCTTCTTCACCCATGCCATTGCATCATTTACATCATGACAGCCCCCGTTTGATTGCATCACTTGCATCAACAGCCTCCTCAAAACTTACAATTTTGCTCAAATCGCGTCCACCCCACTTTTTGCCGGTGTTCCCCACTAAATTCTGATTTTTGGCCTTCCAAAACCACTCATTTTGCAACGCCCCCCCCCCCCAGACCCCCAAATACTCACCGCGTTCGCTATTCAGACCTTCAGCCTAGCTTTCGTAATAGAAAAACACTACGCCGACCAGCTGAAGGCGATGTCGACTCTTTCTTGGTCTATGGTGAACAAACCGGGTAGTAAAGACCCGTGTTGGGTTCCTCAAATCCCTTCCAAACGGTCTGTGTCGCGACAACCAGCAGCTGCCAGGCGAAAAGCTTGTGGAGTAGCATCCTGTCCTGAGCTGAGAAAGTGACAATATCAACCAGGTCGGCTTGAGTGACTAAAGTACAGCTTCCAAATGCTGTGGCGCTTCTGCTTTGCGGTCTCGGTCCAGGTATTGCAGATACGGCAAAGGCTAGACACCACCAGCAGCGCTGGGTACAAAACACCAACCTTGGTTTCCCCGCAGCATCGCTAGCATGCAGGGTACTTGCCATCATCATGTGGACTCAAATACTTATATGTTTGCACGTAAGTCCTGAACGGTTTCCTTACCTCTCAGACACAGCAATCACGTCATGATCCTCATCGGAGTCAAGGTCAATGAGCGGCGCTACGAGTCCTGGCGGAGAAACAATGAATTCAATAAATATCAAACAATTTCAAGATAGAAAAGAGAGAGAATGGGAAGAACAATTCGCTCAGGCGCTCGCGGGAATATGAAAAAATCTCATCAGCTCCACAGCGCTTCGGGCCTGTCCTTCCGTGCCCGTCAACCAGCCTGTTGAGCTCGAGGACCTCGCTTCACCAGTGGCGGCCAGGTTTCGGGTGGTTGAAGTGGAACTCCTGAGCTCTTGCGCGAGGTTACGCAGTGCACGGCGACGTTCGGCCAAAACTCTTCTGCCAAGCATCTGGTTGGCGCCTGAAACGGGCAAGAAATCTCTCTGAAAAAGGATGCTGTTTGAAACGATGATCCTGGTAGCACAAGAATGCCATGTGTCAAACAAACAAGCGCTCCCATAATTTTCCGTACGCCATATCTGCACAGTGGAGCACTAGTTGCTAGCTCTTCAAAGAACATGGTCAAATGATGTCAAATGGCCTTCCGTAGTTTGGAAAAAACGATATAGGGATTCTTCTTTCCTCACCTGGGAAAAGGCTTCCTGTTCTCGTTACATCTTGCTCGCTTCCTTCCAACCTTGCTGAGTGCCCATTCCCACACTGAGGCTATGGCCGGCGTCTTTGACTTCGCTTTACTCCTCTCCGGCACCATGTCACCTTGGCCAACTTCACCATCTGCGCTCGCGAAAACGGCATCGTTCCTCTAAGGCACGATGCCAGTACACATCGCTGCGCTTCAACTCGGGCGCCCAGGGGAGTGGCCAGCCACGTGGTCTTTCCTGGCCAGTCTTCTTCACAAATTCTTCTGATCAAATCTATGTGCCAATTGGTTCAAACAAAAATGTTAAGTAAAGGAGTCATGAGACATCTTGGAACATTTCACTTATCCTCCACCCACATCCAAGAACCTTGAAGCAAGATCTCTTCTACTTACTTACTATATAGATCCAACTACTGGCGGAAGGCCACGCGCCTCATGGAAGTGATACACTGGGAGATCCTCCATCTGCTTCAGGACTTTCTTCCGCACCTCCTCTGGCAATCGCCAACAGCCCAGCTCCCCATTGCAGGGCACCGGCGTGGGCAAACGCACCGAGGCGCTCAAAATGTTGCAAATGGGTCCGCCCGCGTGTGGGCCTAGGATGGGAGCCGGCAAAACAATGCAAACTATCAGGAAAGGAAGACACGCGTCTCAAGAACTCAGAGAGCCATCTTGAACACCCTTCAACAACACCAAAGTTGAAAAGGCCGCGGACGCGGACACTACAGTTCCGCTACTAGTTCCAACATGCTGAAAGAACCACGCCAAGAGGCTGAACCTGCAGTGAGGCGCATGTCGCAAGTCGCCCGCCGTTGGACCGTTGCATTCCTAGGCAGTTGTTCAGCGGGCCCTAGGGCCCTGGTATCTCTGACAACCCGCAGGAAACAAACCAACCCCACTAGCACAACCGGCCTCTTTACAACCAAAGTGGGCGCGCAGCTCATCAAAGGTCACCTTAGGCACTTAGCTTTGACGCGATTTGGCTCACCTGGTGACAGTTGCGAACCTCCAACAATGCCCAGCAACTATATATACTACTCGACGGTCCGATGTTGGCAAGGAAAAGTCACGAAACTAAAGCAACGCATGGTAGGAGCAAGGACGCTACTAGGAGCAAAGGGCATCGCTACTAGGAGCAAGGACGCTACGAACGGGGCTCCTGGCCGTACTACTAGGAGCAAGGACGCTATTAGGAACATCATGATTCACAGGATTCACCTGTCCAAGCCGCCGCTTTCTCCACCCAAGCAGCTCCGACGACAAAGCCTTTGGGGCACTGTGCGTCCGGAGGCAGTCCCGGCGCGAGGCGTCTCATGATTCGATCCTCCGAAACAAGCGACGTCTTGACTCAGGTGGTGGACTGTAGGTGACACATATCTGAATACATTGAATACATATGAATCATATGCATTGAATCATCACATTAGAGCATATGAGATGCATTTCCTGAGCTCCTGGCCAGGAGCTCATCACATTTGCCCTTCAAAAGCAGCAACATACTGCCGAGGTAGATTCATAGAAACTCGATTTCAGCCCATGCCTTTCCAGTGTGCAGGGCAACCCATCCAACTGGTAATCTGACAGAGCGGTTCTCCACGTCCTCGAGTCGGCTGGAAGCCGGCTGGAACCATGTCATTCCGTAAGGGTCGAGCATTACATATCATGTCACCCATGAAATCATCTCGAAATGAGAATCGATCAACTCACTGAGTTGCAAAACAAAACGTCACATGAGGCCACCGCTAGTGTGCCCCCCCACCTTAAAGCCACGTAGAATGGCCTCGGTGATGACACTCCCTTTCAGCGTGATGGCCATTGTGAGATGCTTCTCCTTCGCGAAGCAAGGAGCCCACAGGGGCTCCTTCTGTGGGCGTCTTTGTTTGGGCCATGGGTTGGATTCCAATCTTCAGTGTCCAAAACAAACGTCCTGCAGTTGTGACAACATCTGTTTCATTCAGTTCAGCTGACCACGGTGAGTATCTGACATCTGCCATCTCCCCATCCTCATCAGGCTTCCGGTGCTCCTCTTGCAGGCTCGAGATGAAGCTATGAAGCTTCTGCAAAAAAATGCCACCCAGTTCGGGCGATGCAGAAGTCCCAAGACCAGACTCCACCAGGAAGACACCCTCCTTTAACCATGCATTTGGCACCCAAAACCCCACAAAGAGAAAACGGCAAAACGGTCGCCTCCACGTACGTCGGCTCCAGCTTACGCCGCTTGGTAGGCCCCATGCGACGGTTTCTTCAGTCAAGTTCCCACAGTGAAAGAATCGATCCAGAATCGACGTGACATGGATTGCCATGATGAGTTTGACACTTCCAAAAACCAAACTCACAGGGCCCCGAGCCTATGTTTCAAGTACAAGCTCTACACAGTTTTCCAAACATTGAGGGCATCGTGGACTGTCATCTTCGTGGTGTGAGCCTTTCAAAACATATTGCATGTGGTGCGGCCGAGGCCAATGCAACTGTTGCCAGCTCAATAAACAAATGTGTGACTTACAGATCGTGTTTAGGTGCTGAATTGAAGCCATGCGAGTTGCAACTCAGTTGATGTGACTTGCTGGAACCAAAGCGCAAACCCTGTGACCGTAGCCCACAAAAACATTTGCAGCATGACTCGGTGCATGAACCTCAGTCTTGTTGTGGTTCCTGTTTCCGATCTCATGATTTCGATGCAAGCAATGAACCAAAGCCACTCGGCACGGCGTTGATGGCCATGGGCGTGGCTGGTTAGTAGCATTCAGTTCGCCTTGAGCTTGGGAGCTACCACGCGCAAAAGTTTCAATCAGCGTGGCATCTCGCGCTTCTGCGCTTCAGGGCTGTACAACAGCACTAGGCCTTTGTAGAACTGCATGGCGGAGCACCAAACGAAGCCACGTGAAAGTCCGTGTGCTTCGACTGCCCCTGAACTTCTCCTGTCGGGCAAGCGCAACCGAATAGTAGGAACACCGACACAAAGTGTACCGAAATGACTCCGCAAGATCGCAAGAACTGTTCCCTTTCGAACCAAAATGGTTTGTATACATAAAAGGCATCCGTCGGTCACTCAGGCTTTGCTTGAAAGACTTGGAAACATGCAATGCTAGAACCCCACAAGCTGACGTGTTGAACACACCTGCAAATGTCATTATACAATTCTGAGGTGAACGCTCAGTTCTTCGATCGGGTTTGGTGGAACAATACTCCAGCACAGCTGCATGTGCATGCAAGAACGGTTCATCCACACCTATCGCCTATATATGTGGCTTTGACAAGCAAGTGGCCCTGTGCCAATTCAATACGCAAACCTCTTCCGCACCTGGAAACAGGTCCACTCTGCATGTGGCACCACAAACCACAGGGCGCCAGAAGATGCTACGTCACCATTTTCACCGGGCCTTAGGCCTTTGTGGGACCAGATTGACATTACTGGCATCGCCAGTCATCCCCTTGCCAAACATGTGCGTGGGATGCTGTGCATTATTGTGCCCAAAGGTTGAGGGCACGCTCCACTCGTGAGCCGGCCGCTGCGCAGCAAGAGACCCAACAATCAACACCAAATATATGTTTCTAGCGTCTGAATGTCATCATGTCAGCGGCCAATCTGGATTGATCCCAGCGCTGCCGATTTGGTGGCGCAGGGACCGGGTCCAACTGTGCTGTACAAGTGTAGGAAGATCAGGCAAAAGGATTGGGCACCGACACGGCCTGCTCAAACTCAGCACATGTTTCTCGTTGTTTTCTGCCCCGTTCAGTCAAGGTCAGGCCCCACACAAACAAGTAACATGACAGATGTCTAATGCACCCGCGAGCAAGAACAGGAAAACTGAGAAAACAAGCACCTGGTGCCTTTCGGTGCTACAAAATGGGCATGGGATAGTTCTGCAGCCTTGCAAACCAATGGGCTCTGGTTCACTTCCACGCTGCCAGCGCTAAATATGCACAACATACTCAACCATGAAATGGCCTGAGGAGAGAGACTTAGCTCTTTGCGGCCGCCAAGCTCCTCAACCTCAATTCCAAAGAATTAGGACGTGCACGGAAGCACCAATAATATTGTTGCATGACTGGTGAGGGATTTAAAAACAAAGAGCATTTCAAGGGAAACATTCCAAGGGGGTCAAGAAATAGAAAATATACGTGGATGAAAATAGAATAATTCCCAGTGCACAATGACAGGACATACAAACAGTGACTTGAAATCAATAAATCAGCAGACACACCTTGTTTATGTCTTGAGCCAAATAAGTTTGTCATGGGTTTTTTACCCTGTAGGTGAACTGTACATGTAGGGTTTAACCCAAAACGTTTCACGTCCCCCCCCCCGGCTTTGACAAGGCAAACGAAGATCACCGTTGTCCCAGTGGAACCCCCCCAGCCAGGGTTCCGTAGGGACAAAATCAAGTTCAGGGCTTTCAAGCCGGGTAAGAAACGTTGGTAGATGCCAATCAAAAGTCAAAACATTCTGAATTAAGGGTCGTTTCTTTACAAGGACCCAGCCCACCCACCAACTTATGGACAACCTTCACTTTTGCCGCGCAATGCGCAGGTCTGGCTCTCTGGCCGACGCAAGCTCCATGCCACATGCCAGTCAATTGCAATATCAACAAAGGAGAGCAAGTAGGACCCAGCAAGGTAGCATGGAAAAAGGAGCGAGAGTCCTCAGTCCTTAGCACAGGGACCGCGCAATGCGCAGGTAAACCCCGAACCTCGAACAAAGGAAACTGTTTAGGGAAGTCCGATGTGAAGGCGGGCGAGTGCCTCAAGGAATTTCACCTTAGCAAGCACCTTAGTGAATACATCAGCTAATTGATCAGCTGACTCGGTGTACCTCAGCTGGAAACCGAGATCCATGATCGTTTCATGGAGCGCGGCAATTGACAGTTTATGCGTGCGATTTAAGGATTTCAATCGGGCACTATACCCTGCGCGCAAAATATGTATGCACGCCTGGTTGTCTTCGTGGATTGTAACAGGGATTTCCCGACCAAAAACCATGTTAAGAACAGTTTGTACTGGGATGGCGTCGTTGAAAAGACCATCATTGAGCGCCACAAGTTCGGACTCTGTTGTTGATTTCGACACGCACTGTTGCCGTCTGGACGTCCAAGAGATTGGGAAGGAAGTGCCGTCCGGGCATTCAACGCAAAGGTAAATCCCTGTGTGTGACTTCATGGTGCATATGTCCCCTCCCAAATCTGCATCAGTATACAAGTGAAGAGATATGGTGGAAGGATTCCCTTTGGCAAAGCAATGAACACCATACTCGATAGTGGAATTTAGATAGCAAGCTAGGCGGTAAAGCATTTTGTCGTGATTGATGCTCCATCTAGTGATTCCTGATGCAAGTCGCGTCACTGCATGGGATACGTCTGGTCTGCTCAACCGAGCAAGCCATAGCATTTTCATCACGACAGATGCTGACTTGTCGCCAAGAGCCCCTGAAACTTCCCAATCATTGGCGTTCAACTCCGACTCGTTCAAAAATGGTGTTGATACTTTCTTTAGAACTGCACACCCAGAAGCATGAGTGTACAAATCAACAGATTGTTGACAATAGTTGGGCATTGACAGGAACAACCACTTACCATGTTGATCTTCAGTGATCCTGTGATCTCCCGAGAAATCTTCCAGGGATTGTTACACCCCCCACCTCCACCTTATTTTTCAAACGTTCCCAAAAATTCTGGACCTCTGAAACTCCTCCAGAGCAAACAATGTCGTCTACATAGGCTGCAACGAGGACTCGCGTTTGCTCATTCCACCAAAGCGATGGAAATGATTCCACAGCCACGAAACCTAGATCCTTCGTCATGATTTGGGACAAATGGATGAACCAGTCATCACCAGCCTCTGGATGACCGTATAAAGCGCGGCGGAGCCGCACTGCGACACGTCGAAATCGTGTGCTCCATTCTGGCAACCAGCACATTCGGGGTAATATTACCCATGTAGGAATGGGGGTGCGGAGGAGGGCCTGAAGATAGGCCTTTTTGGCGTCTGCGATAAAGACACAACAGTTTGTGAGCATGCCATAAAACATTACAATGGAAATTGTCTGGATGCTAGCAGGTTGTGAATGCAACTCTCGAAACTTAGCTGGGAGACCGTCTTGGTTTCGGGTGTCATCACCTCGGAAAACCAACCTTCCCTTGCGTTGGCTCAACGATGGTCCCAACTCATCATTCTTTATTGATCCAATTGCCATCACTTCAGCAATGTGGATCTCCTGCTGCTCCTTTCTAGCCCACTGCTTGAGTTCATCAACCTCACAAGCGGTCGAGTCATCCCAGACTCCCATTGCCCTGACCTCTGAGGCTTCCTCCTCGATAGCTTTGATTGCTTCAGGATCATCTTGAATTTCTTTTCTTGTCAGGACCCTATGCACAAGACCCATGGCATGTTGCAAACAAGATCCGGAATTCAACTGCTCCGCAATTCTTTCCCACTTTTTGTTCATATGTTCATCGTTTCCTGCGATTACAGTAGGCATTGCGGGAACATTTTTCAAAAACTTCTCAGGGAAGAGAGAACACAAAATTGAAACGGCCATGGAGCGGTTGTAGAACCCGCTCAAATAGGAAAGTTTGCCCCCTTCAAGACGGTCGTGTTTGTGCCCCTTGGGATGTTTGCAAACCTTGTTGTTCATTTCAACGGCAACGCGTTCATTCGTTGTCACAAGCCTCCATGGTTTCAGAGGTTTCTTTCCATGGATGGTTAGGTCAAACGCGCAGCCACAAGGATATGCAGAAATCATGCTGTGCTTTGTGATCATATCTTGCAGTTCCTCTACCTCAGTCCAACCTGAGCACCAACGAGGCCACTCAAACGTGCTCGAACCTCCGCTCTCAAGCGCGACATCTGTCAAAGAAGAGAAGTTGCTGACCAACAATTTTGATTCCTGCCTCCTATTAACTAAGTCATCCTGAAAACCAGCGTCCAGGACACGTCGGTTCAAGTGTTGCCACGAGCACCAGGCGGTGCATGGCAGGGAACCCCATAAATGAATAGAATCCCCCAGGTCTTTTCTTTCATGAGCCCACATCATGACTTGGTTCATGTCGTTGGGATCCGAAAGATCGCACAAATCTTTGGAAAGACCTATGTACGAAATTCCTTGTTCGTTTGCGATTCCTTTGAGCGCGCT